CATCACTTTGATCTCAGCTGTGGGGATCCATCTCCCATCCCAGCGGGTATGCAAGGCCCTTCTTCCTCGTTATCAAACCCCCTAGTTTTTGCATCACCTATCTAGCAATGCAGAGCCAAAAGACTGTTTAAAAGTAAATCTGAAAAGCAAGAGCTACAGACATAGAGAGGTGTTTCATCAGGAGCAGTCCCGGTTTTGCAGAGCCTAAAACCTACACAACTTGGGAAGCCCATTTTATGAACACTAAAGCCAAATTATAAATGCAAAATCATGAGGGTCCCACTTGGGGCTTTGGAAGATGCTGGGGTTAAGCAAGTGGGCTTGAGTCTCCAACTTCATTTGTTTCACCATGAACTCACTTCTACATATGCAAACCTGATTCTTAATTTTCTTCTCTTGCCTGAACTCTTTCCCCCCAGAATACTATGTCAAACAACCCCACATATGACATCCAATGTGTTTTTCTCCTGTGAACAAATACTTGAGACACTATCCTTTTTGCTTCTTGTTTTGACAGTTTATTGAAGGTGAAACCATACTGCTTTCTGCGAAAGTGGTGCAAAGTAGACCCGAGACCAAGATTTTAATTTCCTAGGCTATGTGGAAAATGAAATCATTCTGTTCATTAAAATAGCCTTTCTTCAAATTCTTGTGACTTACTAAAAACGACCATTAACATTTTCAGTTGGTTCCATTTTGGTTTTGGTCAGAGTTTCTTCTGAACTGAGTTTCACTGACAACTTTGGTGACATTTATCCCTCACTTCCCTTTTTTTTTTTTTTTTTCTGATGCCCTCTGGGACTGAGGCTAAGGGATGTGCCGTTCTTGTTGGCATAATAGCTTCTCCCTTTGGAGGGACTGACTGAGACCCAATGCTCCAAGAATGGCAATAGCTTTCCTTTTGAAAGCACTCTCATACTTGCTCTCATTAATGTTATGTGTAAGATCCTATTGTGAGTGCAACAAGAACCAGTCTACTTGGGAATCCAACAATAAACAAGGCCCTCTCCTCATCCCAAAGGGGCTCATGGTCTGGTAGGAAGGCCACATAAGTATACATAAACAATGATAATAACAATGGTAATGGTAATCATCAAATTTTGAGTATCTACCATGTTCCTTGGGGCTTCCCTCATAGCTCAGTCGGTAAAGAATCTGCCTGCAATACAGGAGACTGGGTTTGATTCCTGGGTGGGGAAGATCCCCTGGAGAAGGAAATGGCAACCCACTCCAGTATTCTTGCCTGGAGAATCCAATGGACAGAGGAGTCTGGCAAGCTACAGTCCATGGGGTCGCAAGAGTCGGACATGACCTAGCGACTAAACCACCACCACCACTATGTTCCTATAATGTTCAAGCACTTTACAGACATTACCTCACAAAATTTTGGGCAACATGTGGTATATATAACACTATCTGAGGCCATATGAATATGAATTACAACTGTGGTGGAGAACAGCCAGGAAAGCTCCATGAAGCAGAAGGAATTCTAACTGAATTCTTGAAATTGCTGTATTTTATATAGGCAGAGATGTTCTAGGGTACCAGACAGACACTATTATCATCTCACACAATATCTGAGCCTACTTACAATTTTTAAAAAGGCAGTCACAATGAAAGGTTAACACAAGAATTAAAATACAAAGATCACATTATGGAGGAGAAGCGAGAGCTGCCTGAAAGAAGCTATATACACTAGGACTACTGCTTAGAACTGAGGTAAAATCTACATGTCTTGGCAACTTATGTATAAAGGGGTTTCACAACTTCAATTTCTTTCTCAAAAACAGACATAGGTGCTTGCACTAACCTCCGAGAAAATCAACAGGACAATCTCTTATCTGACGGGGACAAAAGGCAGAAGAAATTGTATTTCACAGATACAGAAAGGTCTTTCAGGCCTTTGTTGCTTATGCTTGGATTACCATCCTGTTATGGCATTTCTGTGAGGAACTGAGAAGCTTCTGTCCAAGAACACACCTTTCTGGTGTTGAAATTCTAACCGGATACAGGGAGAAGGTTTAGAGCAGTGCTTTTCAAACTCTAACACGCATCCCAATGACCTGGGGTTTGTATGTCAGCCACAGGCTTGGGCGGGGATGAGATTCTGCATTTCTAGCAGTCTTGACAGGTTCAGAACAGTTTTCAAACTTGACATCAGAACCCCACACGGGTCACTGGGCCACAGCTCCTCAGACTCTGATCTAGAAGTTCTGGGGTGGGGCCCAAACACTTTGCTTTTTTTTTTTTTTATTTAAACAACCACTTTATGGAGAATGATTGACATACAAAAAGCTGTATGTAAGCCCCCTTTATTTATTATTACTAACTTTTTTCTCATGACAAGAGTTTGCTTGCCTAACAAATTCCCCAGGTGATACTCATGCTACTGACTGCCCATTCCCCTGCCCCCTGTAAATTGCCACATTTTAAAAACCACTGACTTAAAACAACCCACATGAATGTGAATGGTCCCTCCTGGGCTTTGTAGGAAAGTGGTGGGGGGCAGGGGTACAGATATAGAAAACAAGATGAAACAACCAAGATGGGCCTTTCTAAGCAGGTATCTTGTGAGCTTAAATGAAAAGGCATCCATATGCTGTAGATAACAAAGATAAGAGTATTTTCTCTGTGCACCGAACTAAGCGGTTTAACTCACATCATCTCAGTGGGCATCTGGCACGGGCTGGCACGGGTGTTTGATCCGTAGCTGGTGCTGACTGAGTGCGTGCCAGGAGGCAGTGTCTGGGCCCTGCTTTCTTGCGGTCTTCGGAGCTACCTGCAAGCAAGGCCAAACCGGCCCTCAGGAAACACCTTTAGATGTGGACAAGCAGCCGGTGGAGGCCCGAGTTCTGCTTCAGGGGCCTGGCAGGAAACAACCCAAAGACTTTGGGGGCAGGTGGTGACAATTATCTGTCTCAACCACAGAAGTACCTGAATATAGAGCAGCGTGTGTCAGCCCTGGCACACATCAGAAGCACCTGGATGCCTGAGGCCCAACAGGGGAGAGACACTTTTAAAAGCTCCTCAGCCAGGATTGAGAACTGCTGTTGTAGGTCTGATGTGGGGTGAGATTCGTGGGGGAGGCAGAGGGCAAAAACCAAGCATATCCAACAAAACACCTGAGATGCATCTCCATCTCTGAATTGGCCAAATCGGTTTCTTGCTACTCTTTTTTTTTTAAGCTTAAACTCATTTTAATATTTAAATCCAAGTATTTGGCACTCTCTCTTCATATAAAGAAAATATATCTATATCTACAATGAGATCCTTAAACTCTTGCTACTCTTTAGAGCAGTAGCTCTCCAAATTCAGGAGAATCACCTGGAGGGTCTGTTAAAGCAGATTACAGCCCCCCTCCCCTCCCCCTGCCGGAGTTTCTCATCCAGCAAGTCTAAGGATGAAGTTCTAGCATATTCCCAGGTGACTCTGACTCTGCAGGCTCCAGAAGTTTGACTGTTCTCTCTCCCCTGAGAGGCAGGTCTTCCCAGGCCACTCTTACCGTCTGCCATCAGCACACCCAGCGCCTCCTCTCCACCAGACAACCCTGTATTCTCCGCCCACCGCTTCCCCTTCCCTCCAAGGCACAGGCAGCCTGCACCCAGACACAGAACTGGAGGTCTTCCCTTCTAGAGGGAACAGCACCAACAGAGGTGGGGGCCGATGGGGTGGGGGCAGTGTTCTCCACCCAAGATCCACTCAGGGCCTTACCCCCAGGAATTTTTATTTAATCAGTCCTGGATGGCAGCTAGGTGGCAGTTGTGTTTTTCAATGGGAATAAAATACATTGACCAAAAAAGTGCACAAATTGTAAGTGTGCAGCTCGGCCAATCACCCAAAACATTTGTATTTGTATAACTATCACTGAGGAAAACACACACACATACATGCACACATATACACACAGACATCACCAGCAATTCAGAAGCCCTTCCTATGCCCTCCCTGTAGAATCTACTCATTCCCTCTTCTCCAATGATAACTGCTTCCCTGGCTTCTAACACCACTGAGATTTAAGATTTTCCTGATTATATGATCTCTCATATTTTCTTTAGAAGATTTTTTTGATGTGAACCATTTTTAAAGTCTTTATTGAATACTTTGTGACAGCATTGCTTCTGTTTTATGTTTTGGGTTTTTTTTGCCTAGAGGCACGTGGGATCTTAGATCCCCAAGAAGGGACCTGCACCTCCTGCATTGGAAGGTGAAGTCTTAACCACTGGACTACTAGGAAAGTCTCTGATCTCTCAAGTTTTGAGGGTTATCAGGTTCCTTTTGCTGAACATTATATTTGTGAGACTCATTCATGCAATTGCAGCTGTATTTTGCAAACTTTCAAGACTGTTCAGTATTCCCTTATATATGATATACCACAGTTTGTCTATTCTACAACGGCCATTTGAGTTGTTTACAGTGTGAGTGGCTGCAAATAATACTGTTGCAAACATCCTTATACATGTGTCTTGATGCACTTGTGTACACATTTCTGTTGGGTATAAATCTTAAGTGTGAAAATGCTAGGTCACTGGGAGGTATTGGTTCAATTTCAATAGATGCTGCCAAACTGCTTTCCAAAGTGGTCATACCAATTTACACTGTGTTAGTAATGCCTGTGAAGTCTAGGTGCCCCCATATCCTAGCAGGAGAGCAGTATTTGTATAAGCTCCCCAGGCTCTGCTGCACGTCCAGTGTTGAGAGCTACCAATGCCATTGTATGTGATATGCTTTGGAAATGGCAATATGAACTCATAGATGGTGGGAGAACTAGGGGTAGAGGGGATATACTAAGATGTCTTCACAATCACCCAAAAAGCAGGCAGGACAGATATTCTTATTCCTCTTTGGCTAATGAGGTTTAATGTTAGTTTAATTAAACTAAGGCTTAATGTTCATTGACGTGACAGAAGTAAAACAGCCATATAGTGATGGTCATGACTAAAACTCAGGACTCTTGATTTCCATTCCTTTGTATGTTCCAACACCCAGCTTAACATTATTCATTAGATGTCTGATGGATAGAGGTTTGGGGCAAGCCAGATGCCAAGGCACTTTCTCTGTTGTCTCCTGTCCCAGGGTTTAGGAAAGAAGAAAAAGCAGAATGACTCAGACTTTTCCCGTGACTGAAGTCTCCAGTCACGGTTGTGAGAAGCACACAGATTCTTCCTCAGGCAGGGATGTAAAATGGTGAATGTGCCCCCGCAGTGTCGGGAAACTCCACAACCAGAAGGAGCCTGTGAACCCAGGAGCAGCATGGCCTGAGCTTCCCTCAGACAGACTGGGCTCTGACCCAGCCCTTCTCTGTCCTCGCTTGGGGACCTTGGACCAGAAACTGAATGTCTCTGAGTCTCAATCTCCTCATTAATAAGATGAGGGAACCATAACACATATATCATATTTTAAGGAGTGAATAACATATATGAAAACCTAACACATACTAGCAGTCAATACAATGCAGATGCTCTTAATATTACCAGGTAGAGCCCACCTGTCCTGAGTCTTCTATTTTTCCCTCTATACAGGATCTTCTCCATCAATGTACAAATGTGGTTATTTCCTCTATATTTAAGAAACTCTCTCAACACTACGTCCTAGTCTAGCTTGAGCTCCAGTTTCTCTTCCATTTACAAATAATGGCCTTCGAAGCATTGTTTGTACTTCCAGGCCACAGTCCTTCCTCTTCATTTGTCCTTGAAGCTTCCCAGCAAGACTTCACCCCCACCACTCAACTGATGGGACTCTTCTCGAGGTCACCAGTGACTCTGACTTCAAAGGATTCCCAGTCTTCATCTTACTCATTCTGTCAGCAATAGTCAACAGATGTTGACCCTCTTCTCAACAGATGTTCTTCACTTGTTTTCCAGCACAGACAACACACTTCTACTCTCCTCCTGGCTCACTGGTTGGCCCTTCTGTCTTTCAGCTTGTTTTTCTTCTTCCCGGGTGTAAGCACTACACCATTCCAGGACCCACATCTTGGACTTCTCTTCTCCATCTACTGTCATTTCCTCAGAAACTTCATCATCTTTTGGCTTTAAATACCATCTCTTCATTGATGACCCGCTCCCCCCAAAGTTAATCTCCAGCCCCAATCCTGTTGCAGAATTCCAAACTCATATATCTGCCTTCTTTGGCCCTTCACTTGTTTTAACAGGGATCTAGGGTATAAATTCCCACAACCAAATTCCAGATCTTCTCTCCAGCCTGCAACCCTGAAGCCTTGTCTCAGTTCACAGCTAATCCCTTCTAGTTGGTTAAGTCTAAAACCTTGACATTCCATATGACCCCTTTCTCTTCCTCACACCCACAACCAACCCATTAGCAAAACTTTTTTACTATATTTTCAAAATAGATCCAGGATATCCCCACTCTTCTCCATATATATTACTTTTGATACTATCCTACATATAAGGATAGAAGGAAATGGCAACCCACTCCAGTATTCTTGCCTGGAAAATCCCATGGACTGAGGATCCTGGTAGGCTACAGTCCATGGGGTCGCAAAGAGTCGGACACGACTGAGCGACTTCACTTCACTTCACGTAAAAGGATGGTCTCAGACACTTTCTTCTCTTCCTGGGATGATTTCAATAACCTCCGAATTGGTTTCACCCATGTCCAGGACAGCTTGTTCTCAACACAACGGCAAGTGATCCTGTTAAAATGCAAATCAGATCATGTCACTCCTAGGGCTTAAACCAAACAGTGGCTTCTCATCTTCAGAGTACATCAGAGGACTTAAAAAGGCCCTCCACAATCCCCCACCCACACACCCACACCTTTCTGACCTCATCTTCTAGTCTTCTCTGTGCTCATCCTGTTTTTGAGTCAGTCACCCTGGCTGGCCTGTTAATCCCTAAAGTTGCTAGGTGTGCTCCTCCTCTGGCCTTTGCACTTGCTCTTGTCCACCCCGAGAATGCTTTTGCCTCAGAAATCCTCATGCCTCTTCCCATCTCCTCCACAGCTCTCTTTAAACATCACTTTCTCAGGGAAGCCTTCCCTGACCACCCTACATCATACTGTACCCTTCTTCATCTTCTTCCTAGCACTTCTCACCATCCAACACAACACCAACACATTATCACTGTTGTTGTCTTGTGTATTCTCCCTGTAGAATGTATAGGGCACGAGAGCAGGATTTCTTCATTTCAGTTTACTCCAATTTCTCCAGCCCCTGGAGCAAGGCTTGCTTAATATTATACAAGTTCAGTAAATACTGATTGAATGAATGAAAGAGTCCCTACTCACCAATGAAAAACAAAACAAACAGCGGTGGTAAAAGAGATCCTGGGGGAAATCCCCAGGAGTTCTTTGGCCCAAGAGAAATACAACTTATTTGAAGGGGGAAATAGTGTTGGTTTTCCCCCTTTATTTCTGAAAGTGCTATTTAACAAAGACTAGCCATGCCTGTCCCTGTAATCCCTCTAATATGCCTTCATGAGAACACAGACAAGAAAAGAGCCCGGGAGCCTGGAGGAGGGGTGAGGAAAGGAGGAGGGAGGAGAGAGAGACAAATGAAAGGGAGGGGGCTGCAAGCCACGCACCACCCACAGGAACTGGACCTGCCCTGAGTCTTCTCTGCCTCCACTGGGCCCTGAAGCAGGTTTCCTGACTGTTGTCTTGGCTCTCTGGTCCCTCTCATGTTCATCACTTCCCAAAGCAAAGAATCCTTCTGGCTTGTTGCATCACTAATGGAGTTTCTTTTAGGTTGTATCACCACCTCTCCCCTCTATCCATCAGAGAATGGCATGTGTCAAGAAAGAATAAAAGCTGTTTACAACCAGCATCTACCATTTCTCCTATTAGAGGGAGGACAGGGTAAAGGGGATGCTCAGTGCCCCAGTACCCGACAGGAGGGGATGGACTGCTTTCCTCAACCACACAGCTGCATGATAACAATGGTCAACAGCTGAGTGATAACAAGGGCCAACCGCAGTCTCCAGCAGAGCCTCCTGCAACAGGCTGAGGTGGCAGCCACTCCCCGGGCAGAACTCGAGGCCACCAAAGACTGTGCCACTCACCTGCCACAGCATTTGCCCTGCTGTGGTTAGGACGGCTCTGCCCCCCCATTAGGGTGCCCTGGCTCTAGGGCTGGTCTATCAAAGCCCCACATGTGCTACGGAATAGAGTCCAGTCCAAGACAAGTTGCTTACAACCATCAGGGCTCGAGTGCAAAGCGAGGCCTACAAAATACATGTTTAAATGTTTTAAAAGTTAATAAGTCAAGCCGACGGACTGTTAACCCTAGAATGGACTCTTGCAAAGATCACTCCACCTTGGACCCCATACAAGCAAAAGGCCAAGATCTTATTAGAAGTTATTTTTATAAGTCCTTGCTGGGTTTTGTTTCATGTTACTTAAAGTCTATTTCATCCCAGCGTAATAGTTTATATGCTAAAAGGGAGTTTGGCATAAATGATATAAAGTAGAGTACTTGCTTTGAATGAATTTATTCTCAGGAAACAGTCTGTTTTTGGCAACCACACGCACAGCACTTTTGATCACTATACTTTCTCTTGTGTAGGCTAGTTATTTCCTCTATATAATCATTTCCTAACAAATCTTTATGTTATCATTTCACTTACCTTTTAACACCAAAAATTTGGTAGATTTTCAGTTAGTTGAAATTGTTGATTAATCGACTTCTAACTATAGTATCCAAAGTTTAGACTTTTAAGATCTGGCTGTTTAATAGAACTGGAGTGTGTGTGTTATGTGTATTTAAAAAGTAGCTTACATATCTAAATTATCTAGAGCCAATTTAAAATAAAGTTTTATCATTAATCCTAATTTATTTCTTTCAGTGGAAAGAAAAAAATTTTTTTAATTTAATCTTAACATAAATTAAATGTACCTTAGTAATAACATGTTTTTACTTATGGAATTTGATTAATGTTACAGGAAAACAAATACCAAGAGACCTACAAGATCCTTAGCATAATGGCCAACCACTCTCTTTCAAGTCCACTTTTTTCTTTCTTCCAGTTTTGCTGATATATGGGCATAGGACAAATGGTTTAGGAAATTGGAAGGGTATGGAACCAGCACAGGGAAGCTTATCATTAAGAACTCCACATGGTAGTATTTCTATGACATCAGAATTGGAAATGATTTAATTGAAAAAAGTAAGATACTGTAAGTAAGGGTTAAGTCAATGGTTATAAAAACTGTCTAAAGACTAGCTCTTCGAGAATATGGTCTCTGAGGCTAGTGATAGATGGTACGGAAGGACCACCAACTGTCCAGCAAGACACTCGTATCCTAAGAATCAGAGGGTGGTGATCTATTACCTTTGTAGACCTCCACTGAAGTGTGAGTCCCCGGTGAATTAAAGGGTTCTCACTAAGGGGTTAGGACCATTGAATCCTGGTCATTGTACTAGATTGGGATTTAAATACTTAGTGCTAAAATAATTTGGGGCTGCCGAAAATAACGCAAGCTCTCAAAGGGAAGAAGAGCCTTTGTGTTTTCTCCCCTAAAGGGTGTTTGGAGCTGTCTATGAACATAGAGCCAGAAGCTTTCAGCTTCTAGTCCTGGCTTTGCAGGTGACTAAGTGACCTACTATCCTTTATTCCCCTATCTTGGGTACCATTATCCTCCCATCCAGGGCTGCTGTTAGCTCACACTGCATCTTTGTTCAAATTAGAAAAAGGTGCTGCAGAGAGACAGAGCCCTGTACCCAAGACATCTGGCCTGGAGGGTGGGCCATAGGCTACTTACCTCCACCACAACCTCACAAGCACAGATGGCCATCCTTCTCCATCAGTTTTCAAGCAAGCTTTGTACCCCTTAAGAAACTCTCTTCTTGGACACCCTCCAGTGAGAAGCACTAATCTTAATTCCCCTTGCCACCATTCAATAACGTCACCAGCAGGTCCCAAGTCTCCTCAGGACTGTGGACCCTGCTGATCAGTTTCTCCTTAAAATGCTCTTTTCCCGGCCTCTGTGGCACCACATGCTCCTAGTCTTTCTCCCCCTCTCTCTTGCCTCTCCTCTCTGAGTCTTCAGCTGTGGTTTCCTCCTTGAAACCATGCTTAAATGTGAGCCTCAGTCCTGACCTTCCCCTCTTCCCATTCTGGACTCTCATTAGTGCCAGTGACCTTAAATACCATTCCCATGGGCAGGGCAAAGCTGCTCCTCCATCCTCCTCAAGAAGGAATGGCACTAGAGCCCCTCTTCTGCCTGTCTTCCCACAACTCACCATGCTTCTTTGAAGAGCAAGTGAAGGAGCCAGTTGGGAAGGTGAGGGAAAGGCAGCACTAGCTCTGGAGACCCTGCCGCTGGTTCTGGCAACTACTCCAGCAGCATCCAGGAGCTGGGGAGCGGAGTGGAGGAAGGGGTCCAATTCCAGGGCGGCGGAGGGCAGCGGGCAGAAGGGTGCAGAACCCCAGGAGTG